GGCCAGTCAGTCAAAGTTGTTTCTGTCCATGTATGGCACCATGAAGGGTGGTCAACACAGATCTCACTTCGGTGATGGCTGATAAGATCGTGTCTCCTCAGAATGCTTTCCTTGTCTTTCCTTGTCTTCTCCTCTCTCTCTCCGTTACACAGCAATCTACCCTAGCTCACAAGCTCGCAGTGGTTCGTCTTGCCAAGCTGGCAATCCTGACATTGGCAACCTCCCCTCTCCTTTCCATCATTGTCCTCAAGCTGTCCATTGCTGTCCATTGTGACGTCTGCCCACAGACAGCCCGCCCTTGCAGCCCGCATCTGATTCTGGCGCGTCGCGTCTTCGTGCCGCAGTGAAGTTGCAGTGCAAGGATGGCGTTGTCTTTGTCCCTGCTGTGTAGTGGTCGTCAGCCACCCCAATGGCGCCGTGATCCCGCCTCCCATCGATCTGCTGCACATACAGTACATACAACCTTCTGGCAAAGAAGAGACTAAGTTAGGTCTTCACTCACAGTCAGTCCACCACTCATGCAACAAACACGCAATCCCTTCGATCTGTGCACACCACATGGACCCTTAATTGCCCTCTCTCTCCATCAAGGTCACAGATCGACAGACCCATGCACTTACTCTATTCACACGTATGTATCAAACAAACACACGACCCATCGATCCACAGGCAAGGAAGGGACAGACATGCGTCACGACTGACTGACTGGCCTGTCTGTCCACCGCAATTAATGTGTGTGCGCGAATGAATGAATGAATGAAGACCACACCGGCCGCACACTCACAGTCCGCAAACACAGCTGGACCAATGCAAACGGGCCGGACTACGGCCGAGAGAATTAAAGGCAATAAATACAGCTGATCGAGCTGACTATCGTCGTCATGTCAGTCATCATTCACTGATTTATTTCAGGAAAAGCCTGCACCAAAGACAGAGGGAGCAGCCGTCAGTGCACATGCAATTGAGTGGCATCTGTCCATACGTATGTGTGTGTGTGGTCTTCTCCCTCGTCGCACTTACTTCGATCTCTTGACGAATGCATTTGCCCGTCGAGTCGATGCGCGGCGGACGGACGTACTTGGCCGCGCACACACGCTCAGGCTGGTTGAACTTCACTATGCACACACCGCCACCCATCGCCGCATGAGTAGCCCTTGCACAACTGCAGGCTCCCCAAGATCTGATCGGTCACACACACACGACAAGCAAGAACACACACCGATCAGACCAGACAACACCACCCGGCTCGCGAATGAATCACCTCGCTCTTTCTCTTTCTGCCCGCCTAGCCTACCGATGCCGCCTATATCTCTTGAGGCACTCGTATGTATCCGCCCATGGCCGGTGCAGCCAGCGACCTGCTTCTGGTCAGTCAGAATCGAGCCGCACCGCCTCTCTCTGCCTGACGTGACGCCGAGTGTGGTTGCCAAGGCGTTCGTTGGTGGGAATGGACAGCAGCCGAAAGGCGACAGTCAGCACACCAGCCAGGGTCCTCACTATTTGTTGAAGGTTGAAGAGATGAACTCCACCGGCTTGCAGCCCCTGTTGTCCTGCCAGTGAGTGCAGGAGGCCTTCTGGGACCAACATGGACTGGCCCGCCTTGAGGGTGTTGTTGATGACGCGCGGCGAGGGGCCGTTCTCCTCCACGAATCCCATCTCCAACTCACTCCTCCCGAGATGACGTAACATCTGC